GTTGCACACATCTGAATATTTGGGTTGAAGTGTTCTGGAACAGTGTTGTAAATACAACTTAACCACTGATTTCTAGTCGTGTCCTCTTTTGGAAGGCCAAACAAAGTAGTTTCACTTTCACAACGAGTGAGTGGCAGCGGGCGGGCTTGAGAACGGCGCGGCCGGCGGATTCGACGAAGGAGCGTCCGGAGGGCTTGCGGCAACCACATGTGACGACCCCGGGCTGGACTCCGCTTCGTCCACGGTGAAAGCCGATCTGGCGATCCACAGCGCAAAGTTGTTGTATTACCAGCACGGATCAGCTCCAGGCATGACAAAGCGTTATCGTCCTCTTTTGGAAGGCCAAACAAAGTAGTTTCGCTTTCACAACGAATCACACAGCGCCTTCACGATATGGCGGCGGCGGCAACTATACTACAGTGAGAATAAAAGTTACGCCTTCTTTCTTTGCGTGAACATTTGGGCGGCGTTATGCAAATCTTCCCACATAGTGATGTAGGTATGTGGGGGCGTGTTAGAACGAGCCGTTTTAGGTAGGCGTGGCTGACTCTTAACTTTTATAAAGAATATCTCTTTGGATTTGAGACTTTAGTCTCTGCAACTTTACAGATCTTCTATATGCACCAAGAGCTTGTAACACTCCAAAGAGAAAGGAAAAATTTAAATCGCATCATATGACCCCTTTAAGCGAAAGTGAAACTGGCAGCCTGTGAGAAATGCGCTAGGCACCAATACAAATGTGTGCGTGCGTTGCGAATGTTTTGCTTGCTTTACGTTAATTGCATTAAATGAGTCAGTTTGGAATATAAGTCGAAGCACGTTTCAAATGATACAAAACGGGACTTTTATTTCAGAAAACATGTTCATTGCTGTTACAAGATTCCCTGAATTATTACAGGAAAACTTGTGATTACAGTACTGAGCCGCTACAATGGAGCAGCCCTAATGTGCTATTAAATTAAAGATGAAATACCATAGAGCAATAAAACGAACAGTGAAAGTAACAAAAGCTTGTACAATACATTTTAACGGGCATAATTATGTGTGAAAATAACTGTAGGAAATATCTGTTTGCTAAATGAAGCCAGCTAACATGATTCATATTTTTATATTTTTATGTACCCAATATATTTAAAAATTACAAATGCTATGAAAATACAGGTATCATTATCGGCAAGTACCAAAAGTAAAAGTATCGGTATCAGATGCGTTCTGGAAAAAGTGGTATCAGTGCATCCCTAATCAACACATACTAATTAGTTGTTTATCTGACACTTAATCCAAAAGGTTTTACATTACATTTAGAAAGTTCATCAGAGGCCACCACTTAATAGACTGCGGTCCACATCAGACAGTGTGATGATACAGGAATGATCACACATGGCTCATTTCGTTTCATTAAATAATGTATCTGTCTTAACATTCATTGTATTGCCGTACAACATACTTTCTCCTGAAACAGTATAAATTATCTTTTTTTTTTTGGACCATTTCTGGGAAATAAATTTTGAGGCTCGACCTCACGGGACTTTCCATACTAGTCCAAAACGGTTTATGCCAGTTTTGTCTTTTTAATCTTTCAAAAGATGCTGAAAATGGGAATCTTGCTGGTGAAGCTAGTTAAGTAGCATGGTAGAGACACCAATATCCAAAACACAACACATCACCTCAACAAATCGCCCAGTTACCAGATTAGATCTTTAACCAAAATGCTATACCGCTTATCCACACTTTGTTTGAAGAAGTTGTCTTCCTTCCCATCCTGCTTGCTCAACATGTCTCTGTTTTTCAGGGCCATACATAGTGTATATGCTAAGAGACATTGACATACTAGAGGACTGGACAGCCATCAAGAAGGTGTGATTCATGATTCATGATTCACAGTGACCGTGTGTGATGGATCGTGACTTTTTTCTTTCTGTCTTTCAGGCATCTTCACTGATGCCCCTGAAGAAAAAAGCAGACAGTAAGTCCGTTATTAAATGGCCCTGTGTTCATTTAAGTCCTTTGTTTAAGCTTGCCTGTCGGTCTTTCTCAGGAAGCTACACTGGGAGATCAAGGATCTCATGGTAGTCAGGTGAACCTCATTAAACTTTGACACAACTGACTGAATTAACTCATTGTATATTTATTGAAGGAAATCATGTGCGCTGACCATCAGAGACCTTGCCTCGGGTTAAATATAATTAACCAATGATTTCTTTCTCACGACAAGCTTGGAATAGATTTCATAGTGCAATATAGGATTCTCTCTCACTTCAAAAATGTAATTGCATAATGCTGTATAATCATTTTTAATTCAAGGTTCATGTTTGTTTTTGAGTATCTTGTATGTGTTGATGCATGTTTTTGAATAATGGGGGTCTTTATCTGGTATAAGACTTCCTAGTAAACATGTCTTCAGGGATATGCACAGACTCCTAGACAAGCACACACAACATGTATAGTGTTACTGTCTGTCTCTAGCTTAAATGTGTCAAAGGCTTAAGCATGTTCTCCATTGACATCCCAGTTGCTTCCATTAGCGCTGACCCTCACTCACAAGCTCTATCTGTCTGGCCTCTGATTAAGTTTGGTTTATAGAGCCATTTCCCTCTTTATGTATATTTTAGTTTTCCATAAATGCTTGTCAGTACATTCAGTAGTACATTTTAAGGTACTAATTTGCATCCTTCAGAGGTAAATAAAGTACAGAGGTGTACCTTTTGAAAAAGTATTGCCCCAGTGAGGGCAATCTTTTCGCGTCTGTGAACCATTTAATGACAGCAATTTCACTTCAGAGCTAGAGAGCCCTATACAGTGATATAAAATGTCTTGAAAATAGAGAGTTAGAGCATTATGAGCTATTAAAAGCATAACATGTTGAAGAGCTGTGTGTGTCTGTTTGTCTCAGACAGGCAGGTGCCCGTGCGATGTGAAGGTGGGGATCTCTTCTATGATGGAGAGAGATTCTCCAAAGGCAGCAGTGTCGTTCTAGAAGTCAATGACGACAGCCCAGCACAGTCAGTAGAGTATAAGACATAAGACCACATCTGTCTTCGCTTTGGCTTTGTTTGCAAAAACATTTCAATTGAAATGGTTTCCCTGTTTTGTGTGTTTCTCTCAGGGCCGTAATAACAGGGATCAGCACAGGAGAGGTCTGGGTCAAGCGCACAGATGGCACCAAAACCAAAATATATGTCTCCCAACTTCAGAAAGGCAAATACACCATACAAAAAGCTTAGAGTAGATAAACATTACACTCAGAGAGAGTGTGAATCTACCCTTTAATAATTAACACTCAAATTCATCAACACATTTAGAACAGCTTATAAAAATCCAATCTAATGCTATGCACTGGTATTGATCAGACCAGAGGACTTTATATGCAGTGACTTATAATTTTGCCCTTTTTTCTATACATATTTCATGATTAATATGATAATAAGAGGGATCTGGTTCCAGATCAACGCTGTTGGTGACAAGTAGGCAATTTCTGGTGCAGCTAAAGTTTAATTAATTCAGACACAACATGGACATACAAAACCTGTTGACCAAATGCTAACAGACCTTATGAAGTCTTTCTGTACCATAATACTTTGAGTTCTTCACACTGAATACGTTCATAATTCTTCATACTGACCTTATATCAAGTCTGATACACATTCAGATCATTGTGGGTTTGTTTGTTTGTCTTTGTCATTTAAAATTATTATAAAAGTCCATTTCATGTACACTAAAGACACCACATGGGCGAAAAGGACTGCACTCACACATTGGATCTTTTCTGGCTTATGTTGCAAAAACTGCTTCTTTAAACTGATCTTGGATCTGATTTTAATAGCTAAGGTTTGTATTTTAGAAGGAAGCAGACCAGGACTCTCTACCTGCTGTCTCTACCCAGAACACAAGAAAACACAATCCAACACCTTTAATTGTGATTGCACTCAGAAAAACAAGAGATGTCACATTTTTTTGTCATTACATTTTGAAAGACTGTTATTGTAATACATAGTATTTATAGACATGATCTGAAACAGAGGGTGCTTTTTAAAACTTATTTATGAAGTGTTCAAGATAATCATGTATTTATAACAAGAAGCATTATTAAAAAATCTAAACTTTATTACATTTGCTGTTTAATGCGTCTTTCATTATAAAACCACGGAGGACTGCCGAAGTCTGGAGGCACCGCGTGTGTCCTCCAGGGAGCGCTGTAGTGTACCTAAGCGCTAAATGAGCTATATAGTCTGTTTTTAGCCACTAGATGGGACTAACGCCTAACGTAACAAGAAAAGACGCACTGACTGACTGGAAAACAAAATAATTTTCTCTCTCTCTCCAAACTGATGCGCGCTCAACGGGGATTAGAAAACTCGAGAAGTTCTAATTTTAATTTATACATTTGAAAATTAAAAACTCCAACCCTGGCGTACATCCAAGTACAGACTCTTCTGCTTTCAATTATTGGGGTCCTTGAGATTGAATGAATCTAACGATTCAAGAGTCTCTGCGTGATTCGTGATTCATAGTTTGAAGAGGAGGTGCGCAGACAGATGAGGAAGAGGTAAGATCTTGTCTTGAGGATTGAAGGTGGACAGACCATAAAAGAGTTGCGTGAAAATGGGCTGCTCTGGACCATAAATACTCTACACAAGAGAGCTATAAAGGATACAGTGGTGTGTCCTGCACTTTATTTAAATAATGAAGGACGATAGGCTGTGATTATATTTACAATATAACACAACCTCAGAAACCATATTAAAAACAGTTTTTTCAATTATTATTAAAATATAAAGCACATTCATTAAGTGTATAGTCCCTGCTGTGGCGGATTTAGGTATGGGCAACTGCCCAGGGCGGCATCTTGCCAGGGGCGGCACGGGACGCCCGCACAAGAGAGAGAAAAAAGGGTTTTACGCTCATTTGCACCGCACGTCAATATAGTCACCGTGTGGGTCAGTTAACTCGGACTCGGAGTCTGCGTCCGGAGAAATAGCATACTCTCTCACTCAGACACAGGCAGAGGGTGAGCCAACTCCAGAAGGCTAATGTTTAGACTAATAACTACGCACATCACAAACCCATCTTTTTAGGCAAGTAGCAGATATGGGTGTCATGTCATAAAATATTTTAATACTACTGAATTTTGTATTTAACGTGATCACAATTTCATAAAACGTAAATTATGCTTTAATTTCCACTTTTATTCACAGCGAACAAATTACAGAGAGAAAGTGAACAAAGAACTTAGGCTACATTATCAAAGAACATTATGACTTTTAAAAACTTTGTGGTTTATTATTTTGAGTCGTTTGGGACGCGGTAACACACGGCCCTCTCACAATATATTGCTTTACAGATCTATCACTTTTGACGCTCAGAAATGTTCACGCAATCATGCTGCACGTATCAGAAGTTCCGCGCTCCGCTCACACATGCGTACCGCGCCCGAGCCCAAGTGAACCGCGCTCTGGCCCACCTCTTCCAACCGAGCCAGGGCCGGCTAAACGAACCGCGGCACGGAGCGATCACACTAGTCAAACGAACCGGGCATTGGGGGTCAGACGCGCTAGAGCACGGTTAAGATTGCCTAGTGTGAGTACACCCTTATTCTCTCGCATCCCACACGAGTCTCTACCCGCCCGCACTCGCCCATCAGCAGTTGTCCCGCGCCGCACTCTGTTGCGTTGGGTCCCGCGATGGCAGTGTTGCCAAACCCCTCCCTCAGAAAATCTCTAGAACCAGCCTCAAAAGTCTCAATTTTTCACAAAAAGTCGCCAAATATGAAAA